AAAAGAAAATCTCCCTACGGTACAAAACAATAACAAATGAAACCTAAGGCAGTATAATACGTCTGGGAGAGAGGAGGGTTAGTTGAGAATTATTCAGTATCCCACAAAAAAGTTTCGTGGTGCCTTTAGTTTTCCCACCATCGACTTCCATTTTATGAGTAGGATTTTTTGACGTTATCTAATCCCAATGAATGGGAATCTGTTGTTAAATCCTAAGGCCACTCGAGCTAAAACGCGTGATTTTTTTACCATCTGAACGCGTGACTTTCATTGTTTTATGGAACAGACCCACCACGAACCTACCAATTAATATTAATGTTAAAATTTATATTAATTTTTTTATTATAAATTAATAACTAAAAAGTATGTTAATTATATTTTTAATTTATATTTTGAGAGTATATGTTAAAATTTTTTTTAATTAATTACATTACAAGATTCTATTGTTCATGGTAATGGGTTCTTCCAAAAAAAAAAAATGAAAAAGAAAAAGAGAGAAAGAAAGAAAGAAAAATGTAATGGGTTCTTAATAATGATTTTTTTCTACAACTGAGTTAATGTTTTTTTGGATTTTTTAAGTTTAAATTATTAAATAAAATATATATTTATTGAGTAGGATACATGATTTAGAACTTTATTAATATTACAAGCATTTAGTGAACTGATTTTTTTGGATGTGATATATAAATAAATTCTTAAAATAATTAATAAATTAAAAATTAATTTTTATATAAAATTATAATAAGATATATATTTATTGCACACTTAATATGCATAAATCAAGTTAAAACCATAGGTTTTTTAACAAATTGTTTGCCAACAATGGTAGGATTGGCTGTCAACCTTTCTTTCTAATAAAAATAAAAAAATTTAAATTTAAATTTCACAATATAAAAATAATAAATTTTTTAAAAAAAAGTGATAGTCTCTCATTTAAATATATATATATATATATATGATATTATTGTGTTTTAATTTTGACTCTTAAAAGATTGCACACTTAATATGCATAAATCAAGTTAAAACCATAGGTTTTTTTAACAAATTGTTTGCCAACAATAATAGGATTGGCTGTCAACCTTTCTTTCTAATAAAAATAAAAAATTTTAAATTTAAATTTCACAATATAAAAATAATAAATTAAAAAATAAAAGTGAGATAGTCCCTCATTGTAAATATATATATATATATGATATTATTGTGTTTTAATTTTGACTCTTAAAAGATTGGACGGTGCTATAAAGACAATTTTTTCTCTTGAAACAAAGCTAATATACATTATATTTCACTGGATTAGCTTAACTGGACGGGTCAAAACCTAAAGCTGCCGACCAGAAAATGTGGACTGCGACGTCATCCTTCAAACCAGCACCTAGTTTTCTTTGTTGTAATAATAAACATTAATAGAAAGGAACACATGGAATCAATCTCATCTTTATATTTCTCCTGCACTACACGTCTCTTTGCAGTTTACGTTGACGCTTCATTCCATTTCCATTTCCATTTCCATTTCGTCTCTATCTCATCTGCTTCAACCTTCAGACACCCGCCTCCGTATTTGCTCTCTCCTCTTCAGATTTCAGATAAAAACATTGCCTTTTTCATCTAACTGATCAAAAACCAACGGTCAAGTGGTTAGTAATTTCTTATATTTTGATTTCTATGCCACTTGAGGATGATATTCTAGGAAACAAAATGTTGAATCATCGGAGGGGCGTTGGAGAAATTATCTGAAAGTTCTGTTTTCTCAGTTTTCTTGGCAGCCAGATTGGGTTTTTACTTTTGTTGATGGATTCTTTGTTTTTGTTTATGGGGGATGATTTGTGTTTGTGATTGCAGAGATGAGTTTTAAAAGAAAAGAGTACGAGTTCTTGAGTGAGATCGGATTGAGTTCTAGTAATTTGGGGTGTTTTGTCAATGGCACCTGGAAAGGAAATGGCCCCGTGGTTTCTTCACTAAATCCAGCCAACAACCAGGTTTCCTTTTCATGCTAATGCATTTATATCTCAATGTGTTTGTTGGCATTCACAGTTTGTGGTTTCTATTGGTAGTCATCGTGATTGATAGATAGAAAAAGTTAGTAATTTGGGATGTTCAATTCTCATTTTTCTCTGCCTTAAAAAAAAAAAAAAAAAGGCTCATTTTTGTCTTTATTGGGTCTTTGTAAGATGAAATTGCTGAGGTGGGTCTCAGTTCGTTTTACGTTGTTTAGGTCCCAACATTTGCAAGCTTGACACCTCCATTTTGTTTCTAAATGACAAACATCTCCACATCCTTATAGTTTCTAGTTTACTGGCATGTTGCAGGAATTTTTTTTTTTTTTTTTTAATATGTAATGCCTTTTCAGATATTAAGATTGTTAGTTTGTGGATATGAGAACAACATAATGCATGCAGTGGACAATGGTTGTGTTCCCCTTCTATTAAACTTAATGGTTTCTCATCTAATTCATGCAGAAAATTGCTGAGGTTAGAGAGGCTTCCATCCAGGATTATGAGGAAGGCATGCATGTTTGCCGTGACGCTGCCAAGATTTGGATGCAAGTAAGATCAGCATATGACATAATCTAATCTTGAATATGTGTGATATTTAGTTATTATGCATTTATTGTTATGAGTGGAAATTTGGCTCATCCTTATACTAAAAATTTCATAGTCCATTATTATTTCAGGTTCCTGCCCCAAAAAGAGGTGAGATTGTTCGACAAATAGGTGATGCACTGAGAGCTAAACTTCAGCAACTTGGCCGGCTTGTCTCACTTGAGATGGGAAAAATTCTTCCAGAAGGAATTGGAGAAGTTCAAGTATGTCTTCCGAGTATGGAATTGCAACAAAAATGGGTTTCTATATTATGATTTCCATGTTAAGGGAAATCTGTTAACAGTTAGCCATTTTCTGATTTAGTGAAATGTTAAGAAAATCTTTTTTGAGCTTCTTACGAATCATCATATAAATACCTGAAATCAATCAAATTCTATTTGCTAGAGTAAACATAACTAATGCTTTCCAGTTAAATTATAAATTACAAATTACTAGTCAAGAAACATTTCTTTCAAAGGGACTTGACTTGTATATTTGAAGTTTTTACATTTAAAACTTTAAAATTGTAATGCTATCAAATTACATAAACACCTTACTCTATACATTTTCTCTTTTGTATTAAGCACATTATTTTCTTTTTCATATGCATTGTTTATGTGGACTCAGAGGTTGTATTTTGAGTGTACTAATGGCCCCAATTTACTAAAGTTTCATGAATTACAAGAAACCATGGTCCCCTGTCTGCCATATCTTCTGCGTTGTCTATTTAAATTCTCAGTGTTTCAAACATCTGTTATCATGGTGTTCTAATATGCCATATGTTTATCGCCTGAGCCATGCCATCATTTTTGGCATCTGGCATGACGGTTAAGCAATGTGGATATCCTGCCATATCTTTATCTGTCTAAAATCTCTATTTTCAGGAAATTATTGACATGTGCGATTTTGCTGTGGGGTTAAGCAGGCAACTTAATGGATCAGTAATACCTTCAGAACGTAAGCTCTTCCCGCTGTCTTCATAAATAGCCTGTATTCTGTATTTACAAGTTATTGTTTGATTAAATGCAAAATTTTTGTTTACATGTTGGAACTTGCTTCTGATTCTTATAATAGATAAAGCTAAAACGGTGTTTTATTTTGTTAACAGGTCCAAATCACATGATGCTTGAGGTGTGCTGCATGTCTATAATTTTGAATTTGTCTTAATGGATAAACTTTGATATCACCTTAATGTATTGTGCATATGTTTTGTGCACAGATGTGGAATCCTCTAGGAATAGTTGGCATAATTACAGCATTTAACTTCCCTTGTGCTGTTCTTGGTGAGCTCTATACTATCATTTACTAACATGGAATTTTTATTCCAGGAAGTTTAAACATATTCATGAAAACTAATGTTGGAATAACATTGAGGATTGGTACTTATTTACCTATTTTAATTGATTGTTGCTTCTATGGCCAAAAAAATTGATTGCTGCTTCTGAATTCATTTCAATTGGATTCTTATTTTTGTGTTCACTGTGAGCATCATTCTTAGTTTCTTACCCAAGTATCCTCTTTTATCCCAAGCACAATAACCCACTGGCACTTGTTATTATATTGTAATTTACGTTTCAACAAGTTTTCACTGGCATTTTGCATCAAGACTTTTCATTTATATTGTTTTGCAGCCATAAACAGTGAATCTTTCTTCAATTTTTCAAAGAGAAATTTATGCACCTTAATATTCTTACACAGGATGGAATGCTTGCCTTGCACTGGTCTGTGGCAACTGTGTCGTTTGGTAAGTCTTGATATCAATCAACATAAAGGAAAAGGACAGTATATCAATTTTCTAGTAATTATGCTTGTTGGTATACATTTTGGGCCAAAGCACCTATTTGCCCCCTAGACATTTTTTCTTTCCATGGTCAACACCCTCCATAATTTGAAACTTGCAAAAAACCCCAAATTACCAACAAAGTCAGGCTGCAAATAGGGGGCTTGACTGTTAATTTTTGTGGTTTTTGGGGGTTTCAAATTATGAAGGGTGTTGTCTTGGAGGAAAATTAGTTTAGGGTGTTGGCTGTGGAAAGAAAAAATGTCTAGGGTGCAAATAGGGGGTTTGGCCTACATTTTGAGTCTCTTTCTTCATAATTAATTTTATTAAGGCTTATGTATTTTCTGGTTTTGTTGCTGCTTTTTGACAATTAAATAAATGTGTTCATAATCAATAAAAAAATAAATTACTTAGTTAAAAATAAATAAATTGAGTTCATACATGTATCTACTCTCTTTTTTTTTTTTTCCTGTAAATATTCTCATAACATACGAAGCTTTGCCATTTCTTTTTTCATTCAACATATTGTTATAAACATTTACTTCTTAACGCTCTGAAGCTTATAATCTCATTGCTGGAAACCCGTCATGAATCATAGGAAAGGGTCTCCAACCACTCCTTTGGTTACTGTAGCAATGACAAAGCTTGTGGCTGGGGTTTTGGAGAAGAATAATTTACCAGGTGCAATTTTCACTGCATTTTGTGGTGGTGCTGAAATTGGTGAAGCAATAGCAAAAGATACATGCATTCCTCTGGTTTCATTCACTGGGAGTTCAAAGGTGCTTATATTACATAATACTTTTTATGTTCTTAGTGGTATAAGAATCTTCATAATAGGATTTTCATTCACCTAGAAAACTCCAACTTCAGGTCGGATTAAAGGTGCAACAAACCGTAAATGAGAGATTTGGTAAATGTCTGCTTGAACTAAGTGGAAACAATGCTATAATTGTCATGGATGATGCCGACATTCAACTAGCTGTTCGGTCTGTATTATTTGCTGCTGTTGGTACTGCAGGACAACGCTGTACTACATGCCGCAGACTGGTATTTAAAATATGTGAATTTCCTTTAGCAAATTTGACATGTAATGATTACTGCTGAACTTTTTGTTTTGCCCTTCTTGAAGCTTCTTCATGAAAGTATATACCAAAAAGTACTTAAGCAGCTACTTGATGTGTACAAACAAGTTAAAATAGGGGATCCATTAGAAAAAGGTACCTTGCTCGGCCCATTGCATACTTCTCAATCAAGGAGGAACTATGAGAAAGGAATAGAAACCATCAAGCTTCAGGCATGCTCTTTTGCACTCTCGCACTTTATCTGATCCATATCTCTAAGCTCTCTGCTAAGATGTCAATAAATTATTGGCTTCCAAACAATCATAGGAGCTGACCTTTAAGCTCTTTAAGTTGTGCCCTGGAGCTTTACATATTGCTTTAGCACATAGTTTAGTATCACACAGACACACAGAAGCCATTTTCTTTTGACTGGCACATCAGAAGCTTACACAGTAATTAATATGTATTGAAGTATGTTGTGTGTCTATTTATATTGGTTTCTTGATGCTGTTTGGTATGTGATGATTTTCAGGGAGGGAAGATCCTTACAGGCGGTGCTGTAATAGAGTCTGAGGGGAATTTTGTGCAGCCTACAATTGTTGAAATTTCTCCAGATGCAGATGTTGTTAAAGAAGAGTTGTTTGCCCCTGTTCTTTATGTTATGAAATTTCAGGTAGCCTCTTCATCAGAAGAATTGTCTTTTTATCATGGGCACGCTATAACTTCAGTCATCTTAGTATAATGGAAGCACCTCATTTGGAAATTAAACTAATTTGCGCAGACCTTGAAAGAAGCAATTGAAATAAACAACTCTGTATCTCAAGGACTTAGCAGTTCCATTTTTACACGGAATCCTCCAGTCATTTTCAAGTGGATTGGGTGAGTGTTTGTGCCTGATTTTAATTAAATTAAGTTGATTTGGTTTTATGTCACACGTCTAATCATGTAATAAGAATCAGATCTTTTGCATACTGTTCTGGATACTTGTAAGTCACTGTGTAGAGCCTGTAGCTGGTATGCAGCTTGACTGTATTTTCTCATTTAATGTAGCTCTAAAACTTGTGACAAGACATGATATTGTCAATAATGTTTTCAATGGCTTTGCTATAGAAAGCACCTTAAATTCTCTTCTAAATTGCCTGTGTGTTAAAATTCTTCCGTATTTCTCACCAAATTACATGCGGTGCAGGCCACAGGGAAGTGACTGCGGTATTGTAAACGTTAACATACCAACAAATGGTGCTGAAATTGGCGGTGCTTTTGGTGGTGAAAAGGCTACAGGAGGTGGCCGTGAAGCCGGTAGTGACTCTTGGAAACAGTACATGCGACGCTCAACTTGGTAAATTTGATTATGAATTCCACAGTTTCCACTGCCTCTTTTACATCCATTTTGAACGGTTCCCATTAGTCCAGCCTTTTGGATGTCTTGACACAATTAAAACTCAGTTTTCATTTTTTCAACTTTCTACAATTAACATCTCTCACCAAGCTATTTGTTCATTATCTTTGGCAGCACAATCAATTATGGAAACGAGTTACCACTGGCACAAGGAATCAACTTTTGCTAAGGGTGCCTTGTTGGAAAGTAATGTTATCTTCTATCACATGGCCTACTTGAAATCTTCCCCATTGGCGTTTCGTTCTACTTGTATCAATATTTTATTTCTATTTGCAAATTAGATCTTTTCTTGCATCCTCTGTAAAAATAACATTGCTGGCCTTGTTAGCTCTTATGCTTTCAGCTGGAGTGTGTTTTTGATCAACCTGAAGTCACCTAAAACAAGGATAACTGAAGATAGAATAAAGAAGATTCGCATCTACTCTATCTAAACTTGGTGTATCTAGTATCTACAAATTATGCCATCTTATACCTTCAAATGAAAGATATAAGATTAGGGGTAGCAATGGGGCGGGGAGGAATATTCCTCCTCATAGGATCCAATCTTGCTGAAAAATTAAAAATATCTAAAAATTAATTTTATTTTAAATTTAATACAACTTAATATATCACAATACATTTTGAGTTTAACTCAATAAAAATTAAATTTAACTTAATTTTACACAATGTGACCCAACTCATATTTAAGTCTAACCCAATTAAATTAAATTGGATTGATCTTTGTTTATATTTAGAGAATTTATATTTGATTTTAGGCTTGGGAAACTTTAATTAATTATGCTTGAACTTTCAGAACTTTAGTCATTATGTTTGAATATTAGTTGATTATATTTGAAGAATAAAATTCATATTTTGGTATAGATTGGGGGATCCCTCTTCCCTACAAGGAACAGGGACGGAAGCAAAATCTATACCTCTATTAAAAATTCTTGTGGGGATTCCCATTCTCACCATTCACAAGGATAGGGATGTGGAGGCACTTCCTGGTTCTGTAGAGCCCATTGCCACCCCTGCGTAAGATTTAGGGAGGAAAAATGATCTTGTTATTTGTATCTGAGGCTGTGGCCTCTGCTGTGCCCTTTGAGGATTCTTGTTATGAGAACTTCTGTGAAAACTTCTTAATATCAATCCTTTAGCCCTTTGTTCCTCTATACAACTTGTGTCACTAGAATTTATTGAAAGAATTGTGTGTACATCACACAAACTTGGTAAAATTCAGTTCTTTCTTTAACCAAAATAGATGATGGGACTTGGGATTTGATTCCATTTAGAATGCCTTCTCCAATCCATTTTGGGTTGAAACAAACAGAGAGGCTCTAATACCTCTTCTCTTGTTCAGTGAAAAGAAACAAAGATTTCTTTGTGCTTTTACCCTTATCTCATGATACAGGAACACCCATCAAGAAATCTAATTCCTAACGATAGATCAAATAATTCCCCCTAAAAACAATAATAGGAAGCACCCAAGGATGCCAAGCTGTAGATGATTCCAAAGCAATCTTATCAATCTTGCTTGTGGCACCAAAACACCAGTTTCATATAATAATTGGTCTTAATCATTGACATGGTATCTTGATATCTGATTTCAGCTGAATAATGTAATCTGGTGGCGTTCAAAGCCATATTATTTAAGTGATTAAGGGTGACACTTCGCTTAAATTAATTAAGATTAGGTAGACAAATTGTTCAAGGAAAGCAGGAAAAACAAGGCTTATGATTGGGGGAAGAGTGTAGATGCTTTATGCTTTTGGTATTGGTTTAGAAGATGCTGCTTCTGTGAGGAAACTAACCAATATTTCTCCAATTTATTGATATAATATTATCTATCAGCCTAGCTGGTGCTGAGAAGTTGAGAATATCCATTACCCACTTTTTCTCGACAACCAAATCACACTTGTTCTTGAAGTTCAAGTCTAAAAATAGGAGATTGTCTAAAAGTCTTGCAATCATGGCAAGTTTAGTCTCACCAAGACTCATAAATCGCTTGCTTGCCATAAAGTTGTACTGGACCAAATGGGGTCTAATTACGGGTTATATAATATGAGGTAATTATTTATTTTTCAAAATCCTACCTCAAAATAGAGGGAGATAAAAAGAAGCAAAATTAAGGCCACATAATAAGAGATAATAGGTGGGTCGAAAACCTCTTTGTTAAGATGATCTGTCTTTTGATATAAGCCAAAAGGAGAACCACCAGACCCACTTCTTGTTACCTTCAATCACCTCAACAACCATACACCAGAAACCCATTTCCAGAAACTTATGTTTATCAACAGAGCAGTAGAGGCTGTCTCTGGAACAATTATGAATATCACAATCTTAGTTGTCACTCATTATGAACCGTACAAATATGAATTTGATTGAGTTAATCCGTACTAACTTTAAAACTTTGAGTTCGATAATTTTTTTTTTTTTT